TCCCCCCGATGTCCCCGGTGTCCCCATTGTCCCCGGTGTCCCCGTGCCCGCAGCGATTACATCATCAAGGAGAAGACGGTGCTGCTGCAGAAGAAGGACAGCGAGGGCTTCGGCTTCGTGCTGCGCGGGGCCAAGGGTCAGCGGGGACATGGGGACATGGGGACAGCGGGGACAGCGGGGGATTGGGGACATTGGGGGGGATTGGGGATGTTGGGGACGTTGGGGATGTTGGGGGGATTGGGATCACTGGGGATTTGGGGACATGAGGGACATCGGGCACAGCGGGGACAATGGGGACATCGGGAACATTGGGGACATCGGGCGGATTGGGGACATCAGGGACATTGGGGGGATTGGGGACATTTGGGGACATTAGGGGATTCAGGGACATTGGGGATTTGGGGACATTGGGGACATTGGGGGGGTTGGGGACATCGAGGGGACATCAAGGGGACATTGGGGACATGAAGGACATCGGGCACAGCGGGGACATTGGGGACATCGAGGGGATTGGGGGGATTTGGGGATTTGGGGACATTTGGGGACATTTGGGGACATTTGGGGACATTTGGGGAGGGGCTGGAGGGTCCCGGGGTGGCCCCAGAGGTTCCTTGGGGGAGATTTTTGGGGAAATTTTGGGAATTTCGGAGGAATTTGGGGGATTTGGGGGGAATTTTGGGATTTTTTGGAGATTTTTTGGGAAATTTTGGGGGATTTGGGGGAAATTTGGGAATTTGGGGGGAATTTTGGGATTTTTATGGGAATTCAGGATTTTTTTTTTAGGAATTTTGAGATTTTTTGGGATTAATCTGGGAATTTTGGGATTTTTTTAATGGGATTTTTTGGGGGGAATTTGAGATTTTTTTCTCCATTTTTAATGTAATTTTTCTGGGACTTTTTTGGGACTTTTTTGGGGATTTGGAGATTTTGGGGAATTTGGGGATTTTCTAAAGGGATTTTTAAGGGGAGATTTGGGATATTTTTGGCTTTTATAAGCTAATTTTTTTGGCGATTTTGAGATTTTTTTGGGATTTTTGGGGATTCTTTTAGGAATTTCGAAATTTTTGGGGGAGTTTTGGGATTTTTGTGGGAATTTGGGGATTTTTTAATGGGATTTTTGGGAGGATTAGGGATTTTTCTCTTGGTTTTTTTACCTGGTTTTTTGGGGTTTTTGGGGGGGATTTTTGGGAGATTTTTGAGATTTTTTTTTAAATGGGAATTTGGGGGTTTTGAGGAATTTCGGGATTTTTGGGGGATTTGGGGATTTTTTAAATGCGATTTTCGGGGGGAAATTTGGGGTTTTTTTTCCATTTTTAATGTGATTTTTTTGGGGATTTTTGGGGTTTTTTGGGATTTTGGTAGGGATTTTGGTGTGGATTTTTGGGAATTGGGGATTTTGGGGATTTGGGGGATTTTTGGGGTGAGCTGGGTGATTTTCGGGGTCCCACCCCTCCCCACAGCGCAGACCCCCATCGAGGAGTTCACCCCAGCCCAGATTTGGGTGGGTTTGGGGCCCTTTGGAACGGGGATTTTTGGGTTTTTAAATTGGAATTTTGGGATTTTTTAATGGGAATTTGGGGATTTTGAGGAATTTTGGAATTTTTGGGGAATTTTGGGATTTTTTGAGGAATTTTGGGATTTTCTTGAGGAATTTGGGGATTTTTTAAAGGATTTTTTGGGGGGGGATTTGGGGTTGTTTTGGGCTTTTTCAACCTGATTTTTTGGGATTTTTTTGGGATTTTGGTGGGGATTTTTGGGATATGGGATTTTTGGTATTTTGGGGATTTGGAGATTTTGGGGAATTTTGGTGGTTTTTTTAAGGGATTTTTTGTGGGGGTTGTTTTGGGCTTTTTTAACCTTAATTTTTGGGATTTTTTCGGGATTCTCATGGGGATTTTGGTGGGGATTTTTGGGATTTGGGATTTTGGTATTTTGGGGAATTTGGGGATTTTTGGGGAATTTGGGGATTTTTTAAATGCAATTTTCTGGAGGCAATTTGGGCTTTTTTCTCCATTTTTTAATGTGATTTTTTTGGGGGGAAATTTTGGGGTTTTTGAGGATTTTGGTGGGGATTTTGGTGTGGATTTTTGGGAATTGGGGATTTTGGGGATTTGGGGATTTTTGGGAATTTGGAGATTTTTTAAAGGGATTTTTTGCAGGGGGAATTGGGGTTATTTTGGGCGTTTTTAACCTTATTTTTTTGGGGTTTTTTGGGGATTTTTTTGGGGGATTTTGGTGTGGATTTTTGGGAATTGGGTATTTTGGGGATTTTGGGGATTTGGGGATTTTGGGGAATTTGGAGATTTTCTAAAGGGATTTTTTGCAGGGGGAATTGGGGTTAATTTGGGCGTTTTTAACCTTATTTTTTTGGGTTTTTTTGGGGATTTTTTTGGGGATTTTGGTGTGGATTTTGGGAATTGGGGATTTTGGGGATTTTTGGGGCGAGTTGGCGATTTTCGGGGTGCCGCCCTCCCCACAGCGCAGACCCCCATCGAGGAGTTCACGCCCACCCCGGCCTTCCCGGCCCTGCAGTACCTGGAGTCGGTGGACGAGGGCGGCGTGGCCTGGCGGGCGGGGCTGCGCATGGGCGACTTCCTCAT